TAACGGGGGCAGGCGGGGGCCGGGCAAGGGAAGGGGGTTGTTGCCTACGTTGTTTAAAATGCAAGGGCAACGCTTGTTTTCTACAAACTTCTGAAAAGACCTGAAACACCTGAACGGTAAGTCACCAGCAGAGCCCGTAGCGGGGAGGTTGGTCTCTGGGTCCCCCGGGCTCTCTGCAGCCCGCTGGCCCCCTGCATGTCCCGCCCGTCCCCTTCCAGGCCTGGATGAGATGTGAGCAAACACTGCCTGAGCTGCAAAATAGACATAGGGCAACATATTCCCTAAGATTCCTGTTGCTTGCAGTAGCTGCTGCTTCACATGACAGCCCAGCTTCCCATTGCAGGCAGGCAGGAGCACCTCCACTGGAGTCAGCCTCCAAGGTCCTGGAAATTCAGGACAGCAATACCGCTGATGGATTGCCCCCACCAAGCACAGTAGGGCCAGGGCCAGCTGCTTCTCGACATCTACCGCTCCAAACCTGGCACCACACATGCTGACAAGGAAGCGTGGGCTCTCCCACCGCTCCAGAACACAGAGGAGCCAAAGTGCCCTCTGGATCCCAAAGTCTTGGAGGAGGACAACGAGACCTCTGCTCTTTCCACTGCAGATAAAAACAGCACCTGAGGTAACCCGAATGGCATCCTCTGTAAAGATGGTAGTGCAGCTCCTGTCTTGATTATAAAGCAACGCCCATCCTGTTCCTTCTAACATGGGCTGTAAGTAGCCCGAGCACTCAAATGAACTTGATAATAGGATTATTCGCTTCAGAAAGCCTTCACAAGCCATTGCTCCCGAGAAACTTAGGTGCTGCACGTGTGAAACGGGCCAAACTGTTACTGAAAAAGAACACAATCTTATTTGAAGCCAACCCTTCTTGGTCCACATTATGTCCCCACTGACGAACATGTAAGACCATACAGGACAAAGATAAAACGGTGGTCTCTGGAAAACAAAAGGCACACATTTTAACAACGGTTTAATCTTTTCATAGAACATGAGTCTTCTGCATTGACTACAGGCCAAGTATTGGGCCTCAAAATACTTTGCAGATTCCTACAACTACATGAAAACAGCAAACTTCTGACATATCATGACATATCTATTCTTTAAATGTGTAGATGCTTTAAAACAATTCAGAACACTATAGCAAAACATACCTGTAGCAAACATTATCCTGCAGGGGTTTACAGAATGGAATTAATTTCACAGTGCAGTGTTTCAGAGGTGTCTAAGGATAACAGGTAAAAAGCAAAAGTTTCATGTCCTCTACGATACAGTCCTTGGATGCACTTGGAACTATCCTAAAGATGCTCGAACAGTAAACGCCATCCCCTCAGTTCTTCCAGCTACTTGGTCCAGTGCAGCAAAATCATGCATAAAGCTGCCAGACCATATTATGGGACACAGCAGCATCTAAGTAGAAAGATTTTCTATGAGTATTTCATGAAAAACTGTGTATTCTTAAAACACATTCTTTTATATGATTTGCAAACTGTTGGAAAAAGCAAAAGGCTAAAACTTCCATAAAAGAATGAAAAATAATTGGAAAATAAGGGACCAATTAATCGCATGCTGCGCCAGAACATGCTTAATCTATAAAGGCGTGACTAAATTCATCTTTGTATAAATCCTTACATGTAACAAAAATTAACAAGACACACTGCATCAAGTAATAGAAAAACCTCTGGGGGGTATGCTTGTTAATCTTTGCAGAAAGAGGAGCGTGGGCACTGCTCTCCTCTCTCCTTTGACCCTGACTGGCCAGAGATCATCATGTATTTAACTGCAGGGGGGGAACCAAAAACCAGCAGTTACGTGAGTCACGATCATCCTTACTACGCAGTCTCACGATTTATAAGCAGAACCAGATGTACTGCACATTTTCTACTCGTTACTCCTGTTTTAACAATACACAAAGTATGTGCATAATTACTCATGTTTTAAGTTTGGCGTATTGGGATATCATTGACTCCCTTTTAAGAAGTCATTTATACTTCAGGGAACTAATATTTTTAGCTAAAAGTAGCATGCTTTTCACGTGTAATTACACTAAAACATCTGCTTAAAGATTACTGCAATTCATGGATATAAAAGGAAGAAGACTACGACAGTATAACAAATAAAGAGTGGAATAACCTCTGAGATGGTGAGTAAAATTAAGATCAACAGGTAGGCGAGGGAGGGAGGCTTCAGCTTCAGTTGAGGGTTGGTGGTGTGACAGCAGTTGCTACTTACAGGCAGGTTAATGCAAGGTTGTTTAAGGAAACTCGGGATTACACAGGTAAGTAATGTGGCTGTTAGGTCAACAAATCCCTTTCAACAAGAAGAAAAAGAGATGACAGAAAGGCACAGTGAGAGGGACATTGATGGGTCATGTTGAGAAACGTGGCCCAAAGTTAGAAAGGTGGTAAGGCTTAAACAGTTTATGTTAAGAAAAAGCTGATCGAACTCTATGAAAACACGGGTAGTAAATACACAAGCGTAGCTTCAGTGAAGGAAGTAACTCAGATTCTTCCGAGACACTGAGTACTTCCCCCCACGCATTTTACCGATTACTCTTTTATATAAAGAGCATTTAAAAGTATATCCATGGACATAATTGTTGCTTTATAGCAGCATTGCCCGATTTCAGCTTAGAAATTCTGCTGCTGCTTCCTGCTTCCACAACTCCTGGTCACAACTAGCCTAAATATCCCATGTATACTCCATTGTAACGCAGCAGCGCTTTTAGGTTCAGCACATTCCTTACCGAACTCAACCAGGCCATTTACACAATTTGCACCTGCTGAACAAGGCACACCAATGCAGATCCTCACTATCTAGGTTCTAATACATCCACTCTATTCAATATAAGTAACTAGCGAGCTTTGCAGTGTTCTCTATTTTTGTAAGCAACAAGGAAGTCTGTTCTTCCTAGGTAAAACTAGTGTCATTTTCCAGGAACAGAAAGCTCCTTGAAGCCAAGTGATTTAACATGGATCAGACAAGTTTCCGACTGCCTCTCTCCCCCCCGCCCCGATGTCAGACAACTCCAGATATGCTCGAGTTCTCCTTCTACAGGGGAAAAAAAGCACCTGTGCAGCTTTGGCATTGACCACTACAAGGGAAGTAAGAGGTGACAGCAAGTAAGCATATAAGCAGCAAAACTGATGTACAGAGTTGTGAAATAATCTTGTCATTGCTTCATTCCTCAGTATTCTACTGATTCAAAACATTCAGTTTATTTTGGAATAGTATTTGACCTTTGGAAATACCATCTTCTAAAAATTTCCATTATTGAGTAACTTTGATTTCGGCATATTCTTTCTCAATTTATGGTGACTTCTAAACGAAGAAATTAGAACCAGAAGCATAGCTTTTCCGGAATAATAATAGATTTAATAAAATTGCTGTTAACTACGCAATTCTTCAGTTCCAATTAACCTAATTAAAGAACTGAAATATCAGACTAAGAGAGCTCCAATTTACCATTATGCTTGGTAAAAGTTGTTTCCGTATCTGTTTCAGAAGACAGCTTTTTTTTTTTCTTTCTTTTTTTGCATCCTGAACTTCATTATATTACCAAGATTCAGTTCCCTGTTTAACGTTTGTGTTATCTGCATCATCGTTTCTGCTAAGAGCCCCGCTCATTGCTCAGGCTGTAGTGCCCATTCACAGGGCAGGCAGAACAAGAACGCTGACCCTGCCACAAAGAATCGTGGCAGACAGACAGCGGAGGACGAGGAAACAAACCACTGTCATTCGTGCTTTGTAAGGTAAAGGGCTTTTTACAGAGTTCTCTGAAGAACAGTGGGGCTGCTGTGCAGATTTTTATGAAGATGTTTGCTCAAGCTTAGGGGAAAGCAAGGGAAGAATGCATGCACTCAGCTGAAAAGTGATGTGAGTACTGTAATTGATGTTGGAGCTGGCATCTTACCGAGGAAGTTACTGACAGAAAATAGTTACAGGTTCCAGAGGGCCCTCAAAAACGGAAACAAGTAACTTGGGCTCTACCCAGCGGAGAAGGGGGAGTCAGAGAAAGGATGCAGAGTTTTAACTATTTTTAATCAATATAAAATAATCTGTGTAAAAACCGTCAAAGCCATGCTGCAATTAACTTCTTTCAGTATGCAAAAGACGGCTACAGAGCCATCTGGCAGTTCCTGGATGAAGGCCTGTAGAACTGTATCTAACAGCATTAGATACTCAACACCACGAAGGGCATACAATTAAGCCAGCACGCATCTCCAGCCCCTCCAATTCAAGACCCACGGTCAACACAAATTGTGGTGAAAGCGTGCACACACACACACAGTATTTTCCCCCACTTGAAGAGTAATATAAGACCACTGCATGTGTATTACTCTAGCACAGATGGAAGCCACTGGTACGGAGCTCGTCAGCTGTCTTACTAACAGCCAGTTAACTTCCATGCTTACTATCAAGTTTCTATGCTAGAGGAGTACCCACAGCACAGTAAGGCCAACTATTAAAACTTAAAACAATAAAAAAAAAAAGTAGTGTTATTTAATTCTTGTTCTATACAACCTCCATCTTCTTTCCCCAAACACATGTAAAAATAAGATGATGAGACGAGATTTTTTGAAAGTTCGCAATGGACAGTTTCAGAAACAAACT